GCTTGAAAAGTAGGGGAAACCGTCGGCACATGACCATCCGTTTCCTCGTGGTTGAAGAGCTCACAGCTTATAACCTCATCTTTGGCCGTCCCACTCTTAACGAGTGTAAGGCCGTCATCATCCCTGCACTCATGCTACTAAAGTATGAGAAAGATGATGGAACAGTTGGTTCCCTTAATGGGGACCAAAAGACGGCTCGAGAGTGTTACATCTCGGACGTCAAGCCTGCGCCCGTAGCATCCGGTCGGGGCAAGCAAACGATTGACCTCGACGATGTCGAGGAGGAACAGTCGGCCCCATCAGCCGGAAAGAAAAGAAAGACTGATCCGCTGGTGGTGGTCAAAAAAGAAAAACAATAGCAATCACTGATCGGGGAACGGTCGGATGATCTCCGTCCTCAGCCTACTGGTGAGCACATCGATATCCCTCTGGACGACAGCCGCCCAGAGCGGACGGTTAAGGTGGGGACGGTTGCACTTTTAGAGCTGGGTGAAAGCCTTCATCAGCTGCTGAGAGAATTCAAAGACATCTTTACCTTTGAAGTGGAGGAGATGCCAAGCATCATCCCGGATCTTGCTGTCCACAAACTCGTCGTGGATCCTAAAAAGAAGCCCATCCGGCAAAAGAAAAGAAACCATTGCGAGGAAACAAGTCAGGCGGCTGCTGCCGAAGTAAAAAAGCTGCTGGATGCCAAGTTCATTCGGCCATGCAATTTCCCTGAATGGGTAGCTAACGTTGTGTTAGTAAAAAAGCCGAATGGAACTTGGCGGATGTGTGTTGACTACACAGACCTCAACAAGGCATGTCCAAAGGATAGTTATCCATTGCCCAAAATCGACAGTCTGGTCGACTCAACAACCGGACATGCCTTGATGAGCTTTATGGACTCCTATTCAGGTTTCCATCAGATCCCCCTGTGGAAAAAAGATCAAGAAAAGACGGCATTCGTCACTGATCAGGGGTTGTTCTGTTATACGATGATGCCGTTTGGTTTGAAGAATGCGCCTGCTACTTTCCAAAGAATGATTAATACGATTTTCATTAATCAAATCGGAAGGAATGTAGAGGCGTACATTGATGACATGATAGTCAAATCCAAACAAAAGGTGGATCATCTTGCTGATCTCCGAGAAACATTCGCCACACTCAGGCGGCACAAGGTCATGCTAAACCCAAAAAAGTGTGTCTTTGGTGTTGAGTCTGGGAAGTTTCTCGGATTTTTTATTGATCAAAGGGGAATAGAGGCCAACCCTGAGAAAATACAGGCGGTAATCGACATGCAGTCGCCCCGTACTGTGAAGGAAGTGCAAAAGCTAACAAGTTGTCTGGCGGCCTTAGGGAGATTCCTCAGTCGGTCAGGCGACAGGTGTCTCTACTTCTTCCAGGCAATCAAAAAGAATACCAACTTTGAATGGGGGGATGATGCAGAGGTGGCCTTTCAAAAGCTGAAAACTCATTTGTACTCTTTGCCAAGGCTTGTCAGCCCCTTGCCCAAAGAGAAGCTCTTCATGTACTTAGCCGTCTCTGACCATGCCCTCAGTGCCGTTCTCTTAGCTGAAAGAGACGGCACTCAGCTCCCGGTGTATTTCATTAGCCATGTTCTGAGGAATGCAGAGCTTCGGTACCCCATGGTTGAGAAATCCGGCCTTTCCCTATACATGGCCATCAAGAAGCTAAAATCCTACTTCTTGGCGCATGCAGTAGAAGTCTATACTGACCAACCGATCAAACGGCCACTCACAACCATGGAGTCTTCTGGACGAATGCTTAAATGGGCTATTAAAATGCAAGGATTAGAAATCACTTTCGAACCAAGGAAGGCAATAAAGGGGCAAACATTCGCCGACTTTATTGTTGAAATGACAAGGCTGGAAGTACCGGACAATACAGACCAGGTTTGGAAAGTGTATGTGGATAGGAGCTCCACTGTGAACGGCTGTGGTGCAGGGATTATCTGTCAATCTCCTGAGGGAGATAAGTACGAATACGCACTACGGTTCAAGTTCCAGGTCTCTAACAATGAGGCCAAGTATGAGGCCCTGCTGCCCGGCATTCGGTACTGCAAGGCGGCAGGGGCAAAGAAGATAGCCGCCTGCTCTGATTCTCAACTGGTCGTACTCCAGGTTAATGGAACGTACGAGGCCACTCATCCGGCCATGATAAAATATTTGCAGGCGGTCAAGAGTGAAGTTGGGACACTTGAAGAATTCCATCTAACTCAAGTGCCCAGGTCTTCAAATAATCAGGCGGATGCTCTGTCAAAACTAGCATCATCCGCCTCTTGTGAAACGCCTCGGTCGGTCTTCTGGGAGGTCATGGAAAAAAGAAGTATATCTAATGAAGACCCCATTGGAATTCTCGACCAAAGCTCTACCTGGATGGACAACATCCGGGCTTATCTTGCAGACGACACGCTCCCTGATTCACCCCAGGAGGTGGCTGTTCTAAAAAAGAAAGCGGCAAGCTTCGAGCTGAGACAAGGGGAACTTTTCAAAGCTGGTTTCTTGAAACCCCTATTGAATTGTGTTACCCCAGAAAAGGGTAGAGAGGTCCTCGAAGATTTGCATGCGGGTTTCTGCGCCTCCCACATAGGCGACAGGTCTTTAGCTGCCAAGGCCAGGCGACTCTATTTCTCGCCAACTCTGGAGTCGGACGCTATGGAAATGGTTAAAAAATGTGACAAGTTTCAAAAGTTTGGCAAGCTCATCCATCGTCTGGCCACGGACCTGACGGCCATCCACTGCCCAATTCCCTTTGCCAAATGGGGCATGGACATACTTGGGCCTTACACCGCGGCCCCAGGTGGCAAGCGCTACATATTGGTAGCTGTGGATTATTTTACCAAGTGGGTAGAGGCGGAGGCAGTCAAAAACATTAAGACAAAAGATGTCATTTCCTTCATCTGGAGGAATATTATCACTCGTTTCGGGGTGCCCATGTCTATGGTTTTTGACAATCGTCCTCAATTTGAGACGCCTCAACTCAAGACTTGGCTGGGAGAGCAAGGGGTCTCAAGCCTCTTTATATCAGTCGACCGCCCTCAAGCAAATGGCCAGGTTGAAGCCTTCAATAAGCTAATCTCAGACGGGAGTGAACTGGCTGGTGGCCTTTGGGCGGATGAACTACCACACGTCCTCTGGTCCATCAGAACGACTGCTAAAGGGGCGATTGGAGAAACCCCGTTCCTCATGGTGTATGGTGCAGAAGCTGTCCTGCCCATTGAACACTATGAGTCGACTCTTCGAGTCATGTTATATGACGAAGAAGCTAACTGGGAGGCCATGCGGCTAGCATTGGACTCACTTCCAGAGCGAAGGGGCAATGCCACCTTGCTCCATGAGATTTACCATCTGAGAATGACACGGGCTTACAACAAACGAGTACACAAGCGTCCTCTCAAAGTGGGGGACTTTGTGTTACAGAAAATGGAGGCAATCGGTAGGGCGAATGAGCAGGGAAAGTTGACCCCAAATTGGGAAGGTCCCTACCAAATATATGAGGAAGTAAGAGACGGCACCTACCGCCTGGAAGAACCAGACGACAGGCAGCTACCTAGAACTTGGAATGTGGACAACTTGAAAAAGTACCATTTCTAAGTACGAATGTAAATACCTCAAATTTTGTCATTTCAAACTTTGCTAATGAGAATATGCCTTCATTTTCCAAATTTGTCTTTTTATTTTTAATGTCGCCTGTACAAAATACAGACGGCCAATGTATTTGGGGAAAGTATGTCCCAATAACAGACGCCCCAACCTTTATGAAGGAACCGACTGCTCTAGAGTAGTCGTTCCTACGAAATTCTTACTGCATTATGTTAAACACTTAACGAATATTTGCTTAAATCATTTTGAGGCCAATGGCCGGATATTAAGAAAAACGCATAGAGGCCGAATGGTCACAGTATACTCCAATATGAGTATGACCGTTTGCTCCAACATGAGTCAGATAACCGGCAACGCCCATTCGGGCAAATTCGTCGAGGAGAAGCATCTCCCATTTGGGTGGCATATTTCTCTACAAATACATCAAGCGGCCCTACCGAATGCTAAGGCAGCATTCGCAGTTGTTTGGTTTAATCGAAAACGAAATCCAAGAGGCCAAGAATTTTCTAACTGTTCTAGCACAGTCGGAAAAGGATCACTATTTCATAAGTATAAACTATTGAGGCATTAGGCCGGATGCGCCTGTTTTTGCTCTAAGGAAAGACAGGCGGAAAACTTTTACTGACCTACAAGTCACCTAATGAGGCCTTTGGCCAGATACACCTGTTTCTATCCGAACGCAGAATAGGCGGACTATTACTTACGAGAAACGAGCTAAAACACTTAGCAGATTAAAATAGAGACTTGTGGGTCGAATGCGCCTGTTCTTTGCTCTTGGGGCAAGACAGGCGGATTATTCTAAAGAAAAATCAAGACTAAGTTAAAACTTAGCACCTTATCTCGTCAAGGCCTAAGGCCGAATGCGCCTGCTTTTAGTTCTTGGAACAAAACAGGCGAGGGATTTCTTTTTATCAAAATTTGCTAAGTCAAAAATATTATATTTTGCCTGAGCCAATGGCTGAATGAAAATGATTATTCATTCGCTCCTGATGGCCGTCTGTCACATGGTTTGGGGCAATCACCATAGTGATTGATTGACTTAGAAACCATGTATACTCTTCTATGTATCAATAATTTCTAAGCCAATCAATCCACTCAACCGAAACCACTCGACATCCGTCCAGGGGCAAGAACATTCGCATGCTATACAGGTTATAACACTTAGCCAAAAAAACATGGAATGAAAAAAATTTAAAGAACAGCAATATGAATAACTTCAGCCAATGGCCGAATGATTTTAAATTAAAAAGGCCCAATCACCATCAGACGATTGGGTAAGATTGTTAGCTGGAAAAGCCAGGGGAATTGTCAAATCACCTGACCCCTCGGTCGGTAAAGATACATGGATACTCGGCACGCAGGCCGGAAGATGAAATTAATGGCCATTCGGCCGCTTTAAGGGGCAGAGGGATTACCAGCATTGGCAGCAGCATCATGAGTTGCCGGCTGCTCTTCATTGTCATCACCATCCTCTTCCCCGTCTTCATCCCCGGAGGAGCCTGAAGAGGAGTCGGCCTCTTCACCATCCGCATCCTCCTCTTCAGCCCGGCGAAGGAGTTCAGCATTGTAATCCTTGTTTGCCCGATCAAACTTGGATTTCCAGATGCCAAAATCAGCACCCGGTTGTACCGCCTCCCATGTCGCCCGCATGATGGATTCGTAGTCTTCCATCATTTGTTGGACAAGGGCCTGTTTCTCCTCCTCAGTCGGGGACTCGAACTTGGCCTTCAGCTGCTGCTCCTGGTTCGCTAGGCGCCCCTCCAGGCGGCTCACCCGCTCCTTGGCCCTCTCAGCCTCATTCTTGGCCTCTTGAAGAGGCTCAAGTTTTTCCTTAAGGCCTTTAACCTCGGCCTTAAGTTCCCTGACTTTGGAGCGGGCCAAATCCAGGTCCTTCTTCTCTTGCAGGTTGGCGTCCGCTTGGGAATACATCATATCAAGGGTCAGAAGCTCATTCTGAGCAATTTCAAATTGAGCTCGGTCTAAGGTGGACTCGGCCCGAGCTTTAGCGGCTGTTACCTCTTTTGATTTTTCTTGAATTGGCCGTTTGAGCCCTTGGACGCGCTGCATGGCCTGGAACTAAGAAAACACCGAATGGTCAAAACCAGTCGGATATGTGTTAAATATTATGGAAAATTTCCCCAAGATGACATCTAAGTTAAGGGTGTCGACTCCTCTTACGGACGCCCTGTCCTTAGAATCAAGCGACTGTAGCATCTCCTTGGCCATCTGGACGACGCTCGACCTTTGTGGGGGGGGGGGCTGCAAAATTATAAGTTAGTCAAATTCCAAGAAGCAACATTAAGCATTGAAGTTTAATAAAGATGCGGCCCATACCGTCCGGCTGGGCCTCCTCCTCCTTCTCCTTCCACTGACGTCTCTTCTCTCTTGTTGAGCCGACAGCAGTGCTGGGTTTCTTAAAGCCACCCTTTGATGCCTGAGTATCATCCGGTTTGCTGACCTCCCTGCCAGCTTCGAGAGTAGAGCCGTCCCCTCTCTTGGACTTTTGAGCAATGTGTTTCCGGTGTTTGCCGGATGCACTCACATCACCCGCCCTAGTTTTTTGAATTTTGAGTTGGGATTGTTTGGAGGGAGAAGGCCTGACAGAACCACTCTGTTTGGACGAAAAGAAAGGCGTCAGAAAAGCAGGCGGACAAAATTTAATCTTTGTTGAAAAATATTCCAAGTATCATAAACAACTACCTTGGGAGATCCGGCTGCTTTCTGCTCGTCATTCGCCCTGTTAAGGACGTTGGTGCGGTACTTTGCTGCAGAGACGGCAGACGACTTCTTTGTTGCTGAGAGCTTTTCCATCGCTTTGTCTGCACCAAAAGAAAGAGTTAGGTTTTATAAACAAACACTGAAATTTTTTTTAAGTTTACTCTAAGACAGACGGCCGACTACCTCTCGGCATCTTAGAACTTAGACCACAAGCGGCCAAGAACACCCCATCTTCTAGCCACTTGTAAAGGGGAATGTAGCTTTGGGGGACGACTATTTTCTCCCCATGCTCGTTTGTACGAACGGACACTACAAACAGACCCAGGTCGAAAATTTCCTCCTGGGCCCGCTTAGGGAGAGGGGGCAAGGCACTCTTGCCAGCCAGAAGGGGTGGATCCTTGTTCCACCGATAGTATTTTTGGTTCATTCGGCTTTCAGGGGAATGGAAAATGTAGAACTTAGTTCTCCAGTCCTTCCATTTGTTCTCTTTGCCGACTGCCATCATGTACCCCTTGCAGGTGGTCAAGGTGTACCAGCCTTCGCCGCCCTTGGCAGGCGCTCAGCTGAGATAGTGCATGTGGGCGAATGCCTCAAAGCTGGGATCCACCTCCAGCATTTCACATGCGGCAACGTACCCGATGATATTTATCCATGAATTCGGGACAAGTTGCCAGATACCCAGTTGGTATCCATCCAGTATCCTCTCCACGACCGGATGGAGAGGGAAGCATAAGCCAGCCTGAAGGACCGCCTCGTAGCAGCCGAAGGCTTTGTCCTTATAACTGGCCAGGGAGGGCCAGGTTATTGTATCCTCCTTGTTGGGGACGGATAAGGAGAAGCAATGTCCCATTACGACCTTGCGCCTGTAATTGGCAAGACCGGATGTCATGGAGGCCCGCTTGCTCTGCGGGACATGGTGAAAATAGGGGGCGCGCTCTAAGCGCCTGGAAGCACTCGGCTCCGCCCAGCCTTCCCCCTTTTCTACTGACAAGGACTCCCTTGCAATATCTATTTTTGCTCGGACCTCCTCTGACTCAACAGAGGCACTATTAGAGGATGACGAGGCCGAATCGTCATCAGAACTTTCCCCAGAGCTAAGGGACTGCCGGCTAGGGCCAGCAGGGTCCTCCCCTAGACTCTCCTCAGGCGCCTGTTCTGAAGGCTTGGCCTGGTACTAACTGTCGGCTTCCCGTAGTATAGAATCATTAGGGGTGCCGCTTGAGGAAGAGGGAGAGTAATAAGTTGGAGTTGGGGGAAGGTCAGAAGAGGGGTTTGGGGGGTGCTCAGAAATTTCGCTAACTGGCACCCTAATGGAGCCGCCTGAAGCTGGAGTCTCACAGTCCGAATGGTAAAAGAAACCATCCGGCCTATATCTCCTTGCTGTCTGCTTTATTCGAGCCATTGTGTCCTGCAGATGCACAGACACTGTCGGATTTGGAGACGCACTTAAAGGAAAGTTCTCGAACGAGCATTCGGCACTCCTAGTTCTAGATTTAGCCGTCCCTGGTAACCGGCTGATCGCTAACCTAGGCCGTCCCGTGTACGTTTGGGAAACCATTTGAATAAACGAAAAACACAAGAAAAAATAAAAGAAAAGAGCATGCGGTTACCTTAGAAGAAGTTATTTGAGACGCCTGGTTGGCTGAAGCAGTCGGTAGGAAAGGCCGAGTGTTAGATGCTTGACAAAAGTCAGGGTCTTTAAGAGTCTTTGAGAGTCAAAAGTCCAGAGATTCTCCAAGATTCGCAAAGGTGTAAAAACAAAAATGAAGTCAAACCTTCCTATTTATAGAAAGGGGAAACCCTAATTTTTCCCCCCAAAATACAATTTGAAAATTCAGCCAGTCAGACGAAGACGCCTGTCACAGGTGCCACATGCAATACATGTGACCCCTGTGAGGAGCAAATGATTTGGGTATTTTATACCTGCCAAGTGGCCCAATCAGAGCATGACACGTGTCACTGGAAGGGGCACCTACTTGGAACTTCCAGATGGTGGCACTTGTCGAGCAGATATTGCCCCCTGGGAATGGCGTGCCCTAATCCCTAGGTCACCAGATCCTAGGTAGGGCACACTTTCCAAAAGAACCCTATAAATAGGGACATTCTTACATTTATGACAAGACAGAAAAAGATATACACCGAAAAAGAGAGAGAATATTCACGCACTACGAGACAATACGTCACTTACTACAGAGTTGTCATTTTCAAAGAACAGACAACACTTTACCTGAGCTTGGAATCCAAGCAGATAACTTTACTTCTGCACGTTTTATTACCGAACGTTTACTAACTTAATCTTCGGAGGCGGACCACCGACCATTCGGCGGTCCGTTTGCTTTGCAGGTACAGGCGCCCGTTGTTGAATTCAGTTTTAGTGTTGTAACTCTCCCAAGGGACAAAAACCCCAAAAACAGCAGCAGTGCGTCTTTCGTTCTACGATCTCTTCACGGCTTTCTAATGTTTAATTTGTCATCTTTGGCCTGGTATGAATAATAAATCTTATGAACTTTTTTCTTGAAATTATTGATTTGATACTATTGTTGAAATTAGGGAAAATTTCTTTTAATTTTTTCTTATTTTGGATCGATTTTTTTTTTAATCAGGTTTTAATCAATTTAATTTTAGGAAAATCGGAATTGGATATTATTTTTGATCAATTTTTTTATACTAGCAAATTTATGAATATTTTCATGAAGATTAGATCCAAAAGTGATATTTCTTACAATTTCTAATTTCTTGATGTTGAGCGACTTAATGTTATAAAATCTAAGGTAAATAAATATTGATTTAGTTTATTCATACATAGCAGAGTTCTTTTAATTTTGATTATGTTATGAGTAGTTATAATTTTTTATCCTAAATTTTCTCCATATTTTGTTTTCCTTTTGATGCAGATTTATCAATGGAAGCAAGAATAGCTGATAATTAATTTCCTTTGCACTTTTTTTCTTCGTAATTTTTGATCTTATTTTTCTTCATCATACGGAGAAGTTCGGTTAATGTATTACGGAGTAATAATATTGTATTATTTTTTTTGAAGAGGATTGGAGTTGTAGTATACGAATTACAATACGGAGTACTTCGTATGAGTTATAAATCTAGAATACGTATCATTTTGTAGCCTACTTTTACGGAATTGAAAATGTTATTATGGCAAGGAAAATCATTTAAATATTTTCTAATTTATTTTTTTCGAAAAAAAACGACGAAAACAGGACTGTTATTAGACATAGGCGTTCTCTTTTCACATAATTATAGAACGCCTAACATAAGAAAGGCATTCTCTTTCCCTTGTATTTTTCTTGTTTTGTTCATAGAGTTGGAAGCGCCTATCTTGGTGAGGCGTTATGAATTGTATTGAATATAGAACGCCTCAAATAGGCGTCTTATATAGTTTATAAGGCACCCCACTCTATATTGCCTATTCCACACATTCTCTATTGCCTTTTTTATACGGTTAGTCAAAGAGGGTCCATGGTTATGAGTCCGAATGCATCACGCAGAAGCCTTACCTTTGGAAGGTTTGGCGCGTATGGATGGGACCCCGGAAGTTAAACTTGCTTCCACAGTTTGGTGAATTCACAAACTCGGATGTACCCTTCGTTGCAATGAGCGTTCGATTGGGTAGATGGAGCGTGAATTCCCAGAAGGTTATGGCCATATGTAAAACACATATGGGTTCAGAAAATTGAGAAAAACTCAATCAGGGAGTAGAATCGAGTAAACAGTACTTGAACTGGTCAAACCAAGAAGGTAGATTTCTGGCTCGATATTGCAAGAACTTAGCACGAGACAACAGGGCATGTCGCGAGACATGACCCTTTCGCCACACAACATTGCTGTCGCACAGCGACAATGCCATTGCACTACGACGTGCACTGTTTTCTCAACGCTAGTTCCTACATGCCTCAGCAGCTTTCTGTTCTTAAAATTTTCCAGTTTTTTGTAGCGTTATTCCGATTCTAGTTATGAAAGATATTTCCCAAATTTCCTACGTGTAAAAATATTTCATAAAGATATTTCCCCAGTGGAGTCGCCAAAAACTATAAGGAATATTCAGGCATCCCACACTTGAGCCCCACTGTGATCATACACTTAAGTATGGTGGCGTCCAAAGGGAAGGAAGCTAGAGAAAAAGAGTCGCCAACAAGTTTTAGGAACTTGTAAACCGTTTACAGGGTGAAGATTACACCCCTTCACGATCCATGAGATCGCTAACTCTATAGTGGTCCTGAACCATGACTGGACATTCGGGGATAAAGGTACAAATCCAACCTAAATTAAAAGAGATTGAACCTGCCATAAATAAGCCTCTACTTTATTCTTCTCATATTCATGTGCGCTTTCTGACTAACATACAAACAATATATTAATTCTAACCTGTTTAATCTATGTTGGTTGAATATTAATGCACAAACAAATCTATTATTGGAGATCACTTGAATTAAAATCATATAATCCTAAACAAGATTATAAATAATTATCTTATTAAGCGTGATTACAAGTACAAATTCCATTTAATCTTGCAAGAGAGGGTGTAATCAACCAATAACAATGATATATCAAGCAACATAATAACAACAATGATCATCATAATAATATTCTCATCAAAACATAATAATAGAAAGGTCGTAGGCATGATACTAACAAAATTAATAACAAATCCTAACATGTCACTAAGCAATAAAGATTAAAGCTTTATCCCTAACATGATGCTAACATGATAGAAGAAATAGGAAGCAACCTAAGCATGATACTATAAAGCAATAAATAACATCATAACATGATACTAGGAATTAAAATAATCTAAACATTATTTCTATATCAAAAGAATAATTAATAAGTAAATTACTTACTTTGATGCCTCGTATCTCTTTCTATCAAAACAATACACACGTTAGTAACTTCAAGGAAAATATTAAATCAAACAATAAATTGAAATAGGGATTTGGGACCAAACCCTTAGAAATTATCAACTTTTCAGGCAAAAGAAACTTCAAGCTTGACTAGGTGTGTCTAGAACTCGTGAATGCGGAATGTTGTATTTGAAAAAGCAAGGTTTAGAAAGAGGGAGAAAGAATAAGCTTTTAGCTTGAGAGAGAGAAGAGAATAGAATTAGATGATTGATGATGATTGTGAATGAATAAAAGCGGGGAAATACGACCCTATTTATAAGAAAAATAATTCGAAAAT